GTGAGCGTTATGGTGTGATAATATTTGCCCATCTAACAGTTATTTACATTGATATCAACTCAAAAAATTAATAAATATGATCTGACCATTTTATTACTGAGCTAAAAACAAGCATTGGGCATTTAAATTTAAAAACAGTTATCATAGTAACAGATCAATAGTTCAGTGTAATCCATTGCCTGTGAATTTCAACATAATTCATCCTAAATATTACTACTTTGATCAATGTTAATGATTTTTTATCATTTAATTGATGTAGATCAATATATTGTTGCATCCCTATTAAATACACTGCATCCTTGTTATTGTTCTGTTTCCTGGTTATCTGAGAATGTTGTGTAGCTCTAGGTAATGTATTTTTATCTTAAGTGGGTCTATTTACCAGACCCACTTAATCCAGATGTTAGTGGGTGAGTAGTATTGTGCACCTTGGACAGGTTGTCACTCTATCAAGGGGCAACATAAACACAGGCTACTATGCATCTACACAGTCTCACCTAAGTATAACCAAGGGAAGCACGGTTTTAAACTTTAAGAGAAAGCAGATGTCCTCTGACAGCAATGAGTAAGCATCGCATTTGAACCTTTTGTTGGGAGACAATAACATAGGAATGAGATAACAGATTCATGTGTGGATTTTGAAACATGAAGTAGTTTTGAAAAATTAACAGCAGAGATGCTCAGAGAAATTTATATTAATTGATTTTTAGCAAGGCGGCCTTTACCAATGATTAGCTGCAGTGTTGGCAACTTAGTGTCCCATTATATTCAAAACAAATTCAGAGTAGATACTGTCCTTTTAAAAGTGAGCTTTAACAAATTTAGCTTTATACATATTTATTTATCAGTGTCACTTTTAGTCTCCACTCTGATGATTCTCTTCTGCACTAAAGCAGCATCTACAATTATGTGTAGCACATGCACTTTGGGTGCATTAAGTTTCAGCTTTAGGTTTAGTTAGTTGTTACTTTCATTGTATGTACTTAAGAATTAACAACTCCACTAGTTAGTCTAAAAAGTTCAACTAATTAGAGAGAACACCATCATACAGGCTACTAGTTCACACTCTTTAAAAGTGAATATTGTTGCTGAGTGAACGAGACTCACTGGGCTTTTAGCACCAGAGATAAAAATAGATGTAGATAAAAATTTAAACTGTATTATTAATGCCATATAAAGAGAGGGAGAGAACAAACCTTTCTTAGATAACAGGAAGGCTCAACAGAATACATTAGAGTTGGTCGTAGTTTTTCCTCTAAGCTTTCAAGTTTTTGTTTTGTTTTGTTTTTTTGCTTTTAAATCATGGCAGATTTGGAAATGTTGGCATGACATCAGCCTTGAGATAATTTTATCTTTGTTGTAAAACATCACATGATGTTACAATTGCCTGAATATAGACATTTATAAATCAACACAACAGGAAAACTTAAAAAAGAATACAACAATAAAACACAGCAAAATATTGTCCCTTTGTCAGCATATTTTCCAGCACTAATTGAATTTGGTTAATATTGTGTTGGCAGTTCAAAGGTTAAGAAGAACTAAATGGTAGCGATAAAATTCAGATCTATGTGGCTTTATTCAAAGATATTTTTAAACGTAGAGATATTACTTTTAATTTATTATTATTAATAAAATTGAATGAGGTGTGAAAAGCTTTTGGGTCCGTGTACTTAATAAAGAACAACTTTCCTATTAAGAGTTGTAAAGTGGATGCAGCAACCTCCATATTGCCATTGCTCTAACTTATGTTTATTAAACAAATATTTACTTAAACTGAGATGGAGCAAAATGTATTATCTGTTCTGTATCATGAGAACCAAAACAATCTGATCAAGCCTTAAACCCTACATGTATAAACAGCTGACAGATCAGACAAATTAGGGGGAACTAAACGCAGTCTACTTGTCGCCTTAGATTAAGGAATAAAAACCAGGTTGTTCTGTGGTTTACTTTTTGCACTTTGATGACAGATTTTATTTAGAGATGTTCTTCTCCATGGTTTCTGGGGTCAATGTGTGGACGGAAGGATAGTGGCAAAAACGTAAAGGAGATTGTGAAGTAAGGCAACATCTTCTCATAAAAACATTGTCAATTCATGATGAAGTTGAACAGATTTTATATCAATAACAGATTTTATAAATCAATATCAGACAAATTCTTCTTTTAGCAAATTCCTAGGTAAGACAGAAAAAGAAACTAATAAAAAAACATCTGAATATTGATGATTTGTGTTTGCTTTCTTTTTTCACCATTAAATAAGTTTTACTTCTTCCTACTCCCTCTTTGTTGTGTCTTACATATATTGTATTATATATACATATATCTATATCTATATATATAGATATATATATAGCTATATATATAT